TGGAGCCACGCTGAGACCTGTGAGAGTCCTAGAGATGATTCCACCAGCACTAGACCCACAAGACTTTTCACCCACTGGCCTGCGATCCTCCTGCATTTTGCATCATTGCACGTGCTATGTGAGTCTGAAGAGGGATTTATGGACTGGTATCAGGCTTAGGGGCTAATATCAGACTTATGGACTTCATCTGGACTGGGCTGGGATGTTTTCTCAATACACAATTACTCTTTGCTATAAAGACCTCTCTTACACACACACGAGTGTCAATGAATTTGTTTCTCTAGTTGATCCTATTCTGTTGAAAGTCTTCCTCATTTTCACCGCCCCACTACTTTACCAAGCACGATGTCCTTCTCCAGGGACCGGTCTCTCCTGGCAGCATACCGAAAGTATGTGAGACAAACTCTTACCATCCTTGCTTCTAAGGAACATTGTGGGTATATTTCTTCCAAGCCAGAGCAGTCCATGGTTCTTTCCATAGTCTTCTCCAGCACCATAATTCAAACACATTGATTCTTCTTCAGTCTTCCTTATTCCATGTTCAACTTTCACGTGCATATGAGGCGATTAAAAATGCCATGGCTTGTGCCAGGCAAACCTTAATCCTCAGAGCAAGATCCTTGCTTTTCAACATTCTAAAGAGGTCTTGTGCAGCAGATTTATTCAATGTCACGCATGGTTTGATCTCTTGACTGCTGCTTCCGTGAACATTGATTGTGGATCCAAGCAAGATGAAATCTTTGACAACTCCAATCTTTTCTCCGTTTACCACCCCACCACCCCACTGCTGAGGTCTTAGGATGCATGCCACTGTGACATTTAACCTGTCTTCAAAGGGCCAAGTTCAATTTCAACTCTTTCCACACCTTCCCACACCCACTTGGCAGACACCAAACCAAACCCACAAGTCCATAAACATTCAAGGTTAAACAGTAGGGTTGGGTTAAAGCTTAAATAATGCAAAAGTCCATCGGCAGATCACAAGGCTAACGGTGGAGATTGCGTTATCATGCCACCCCTATCTCTGGGTTAGCCCTAACTGAGGGGTCATGGGGCACAGAGGTCTAATAAAATTGAAGTCCATCCCCTACTTAGACCTCACACTGACTCCATCATCTTCTTGAAAGGCAAAAGAGTGAAGTTCCATGAAAACAGCTCTGAATTCCACCCGGGCTGATCCCCCTTCCAAAAAAGAGTTTCCTGAGATCTTCCATTATTCTGCTCTGAAGAGTTTCACAAAGCTCTTAGGTGTTTGTTGCTGAGAATTTGGTGTGTTTTGTTCCAAGCTTTTCGTTTGATTTTTTCTTTCCCTCTTTTGTTTTTCGAGAACCCCTAGGTGGAAGTCCCTGAATGGCACCAATGATTAAGCAGTCAAGGACGGGCCAAAGGTTGGTGTTTGAAACCCTGGCGATTTTGAATCCAGCAGACAGAATTAGTGCTCTGCTTCGAAAAGGTCACCTCCTTGAAACTCCCATTGGGCAGTTCTACTCTGACAAGTGTACCCTGAGCTGCGATCAACTCGGCAGCAGTATCTAGCTCTATATACACACATTTTCCCTGGACTGTTTTCTTTCTAGTCTCCCCAGGTCACAGAATTGTCTCCTTTTACAGCTCCAGTGGTGGTGGGGGGCGGGGGGAGTGAGCAGAATCTTTCTACTCTTTGATCCGTTATTGTTTCTTGTCCATATGCCCCTCCCCCTTCTGAAATGCCTATGATTTCCACATTAGCTCTCAAAAACCTGCTCCCCAAACTATCCATCTTTTTCCTCTCGCTTTCATTTTTTCTCTAGAAGGTTGTGTTATTTCTTCTGCTTGACGTTGGCTACTTGTTCAGGTCCCCATCGCAACCACGCTCTCCAGTTAATGCACGAGTGTGTTCATTCACAAAGCATGCTGTTTTTGTTTCAGAAAAGCCCTTCTGGTGGTCAAGTTCAAATCCCCGGAAGTTGCGCTCACTGACACCTACCTCAGAAAGAATGCTCCAAGAAAATGACGTTGTACTAAGTTCTGGAAAGTTAGGGGACAGTCACATAATGACTTTGGGAAAGAGCAAGCAGCACATTCAAGGGTCCTGAAACTGAGAGAGGTTCTCAGAACATACCAGAAATG